AACCAAACCTACATTTAGCCCTAGGGGAAACTATACATTAAAGGATGACCTCTTTAATTTACAAAAGTAATCTGATGTTCTTTTAACTTTTGCCAGAATGCATCCTCTTGATAGTTTTATACAGGCTTATACCTTAAGGCATTCTGTACCAAGTGAACTGCCGATAAATTAAATAAACAGAAATTCTGAATTATAACATGTGGGTTAGCTTTTGCTCTAATTGCTCTGGGGGTGATATAATTTGAGTATTAAAATATTTTAAGAGTTCAAAATATGCCATTATGGTCAAATAATTTTCTTTACAGAAATATTTTGAGTTGAGAGCTTTCAGTTTTAGAAACCTCTTATCTGCCTAAAAGCAGAGCAATCCCCTCTTCCTACCAAGAGAACTCAATTACCAAAAATCTCCTTACTGAGACTGACCCTTACTACCAGAAGTGAGAAGTCTCCATACCACACAAAACAGACCATCACAAATCTTTGTTATCTTCCATATAAGAGTTCATTTATCATTCTACAAAGCTGACTTTCCCCAGAAGTGCCCCTTCACCACTTACTCCTAACCATTAACTTGGTAAAGCCTCAAACTGTTATAATATACAATTACTTGACGAGCTTATCACTGACTTATGGTTACACACTTCTGCAGCTGTCCCTAGTTAAAAGGTTTGCTAGATGGGCAGTTCACTGGCTACCAAACAACCAAACTGACTACTCAGCCCTTCAACCACATCAAGCTGATAGCAATCAAGGCTCAAGGCCTTTCTCACTTCCTTCTACTTGGAACATCTTTAAGGGCATGGATTCTGGTGTTCCCAAGTATAATTTAAGATTATACTTCCTGTCTTAGAATACAATAAGTACATAATAAATGTCTAATGAATGGATGAATACATAAATGAGCACACAAATGGAATGAACTCTGGTTGTTGCTTAAATAGCTCAATCTTCAACGCCACATGCTCCTTTTACCTCTCCATCTTTACCTCCAGTCCCTATGGTTAAATCAATACTGCACATGCTCCTGCCCTTTATTTCACAGCTGCTGCTGCAGTGCATACCACGATACACTCATGTTTATTTTTGTATAATGAAGATATCTGTTTTACACCTTGTTTTATTTTACTTTTTCTAAGTCATCTGATTTGCTTCCAGTTTTAAAACCTAGGTCTCCCCTGAAACTTCTGTTGAAATTTAAGTCCCAATGCATTAGCATTAAGAAGGCAGCTAGTGCTTAGAAGGTGATCAATCATATAGATATGATTAATGTCCTTAGGAAAAAAATGCCTTGGATGAAGTGCATCCTTCTCATCTTTTCTGCCCTTTGAAGATACTATGAAAAAATAACATAATCCAGAGCTGGCCCTGAGTAGACACCAAATCTGTCTATCTCCTGATCTTTTACTTTCCAACTTTCAGAACTGTGAAAAATAAATTTCTATTTTCCTAGTCTATGGCATTTTGATATTGTTAGTTAGGTACAAAGACACCTTGTCCCCCACTCCCTACGCCCAGGTCGTGCTTATGATGATGTCCTAAAGAGAAGGATTCTGGCAGGCAACAAAAGCCTATAGAGGGGTTTCTGTTTCCCAGGAACTGCCTTTCATCTGTCCCCATCCCCAAAAGGTCAACTACCTTGGGCAAAGGTATTTAGTCCTGTCAATCACAACAGCTATATCAGCTCAAAGACTCACCCTGTTGATTATCATATAAAATCTACTTGCTTTTGTGCCATTTTGCACCCCCATCCATGCCCTGCGATAGCCCTGGTAGTTTGATTCCCAATAAACCTTCCCCCCTACGTCCCCACCCCCTGTATCCAGGAGTGGTCTAGTTCAGTGGTTTCACTACACCTTTCCTTACAGATATAGCAACAGAAATTAACTTAAACAGAAGTAACTGGGTAAATTATATATGTGTGGATAGGAGCCACATAGGAGAATTATAGTCTCCAAGGTACAGAAACATGATGATATATTATCTTTTAAAATGACAATGCCTATACACCTAATGCTCTACTAAAATATGCATGAAACTTATAAAAAATCAGATTATAAAATATGTGAATATATGACCTTCATTTTTGTAAAGCCTTCATGTGTACTTTTGTCTATACGGGATACTTAAACTTCCTCGTCACTTTTCTTAGGAGGGCCCCTTCTTCAAATGCCCAGCTTTCCTCCTTGTATGCTTGTGTTTCCCACCCTTTTTCTTGTAACTTTGTTGTAAGTATTACAGTATTACATATACCCTCCTTTAACTCTATCTTTCCCCTTCTATTGGTTCCTGCCCCTCTATCAGCATACATGGTCAGATCTTCCTATCAGCTTTCATAATAAACCTTTTATACTGAGCTACCTGCAATGGTTAATACTGTCAACTTGACAGGATCTAGAATCACCTAAGTCATAAAACTCTAAGTTTCCAGATTGGGTTTATCAAAGTAGTAAAACCACTCTAAATATTGGCAGTGCCATTTCCATGAGAGGGAGCCTAGATCTAAAGTGAGCTAGCACCAGCATTTATCTCACTCCAATTCCAGAAATCAGAAGCAATGTGACAGCTGCCTCAGGATGGAATATGCCTAAAGAACTCAACATCTTACTCCACAGATACTCTCTCAGCCATATTAACTGCTGTTCTATTCACAATATCTAAGAAATGCAAACAACCCTAAATGTCCTCATCAACAAATAAATAATGAAAACCTGGTACATATATGCTATGGAATACTATTCAGCTATAAGGAAAAATCAAATCATGAACTCTCCAGGTAAGCAGATAAAACTAAAAAAGATTATAGTAAATTAGGTAATCCAGACCCAGGAAGACAAACATCACATATTTTCTTTCATCAGAGGCTCCTAACTCCAAATTTTCAGATGTGAGTATATATCCTGTAGTAACTACAGAAACTAAGAAAGTAAAAAGGGATCATTGCCAGGGTAGGGTGGTGGGAGAGCAATAGAGAGGGAACAGCAGGACAAGTGATCTGATAGAAAAGAGGAGGAGGCAATAAAAACAGAAGATAGTAAAACAACAGTAGAGATATCTGAAATTTTCATAAGAAACCATACTATTAACTATCTACCTAAAGAAATTATAATACACAGAAGCCCTTTGGACTGATAATGCTCGCTCCAAGAACCAAAGACCTCAACAAAAACCTCAACACATGAAAAGCTCTCTTTTTAGTTGTTGGTCCAGAAGTGTCCAACAGACTCCCCAAACATTATTGCTATTGTCATTAGTAAGTCCTAAAGGTAAATGGTTAGGTCCCTAATACTGAAGACACCATGCACTTCAGACACAGGGCCCAGTTCTTGAGCTGGAACTGATCCGATGCCTCCTCCCTGAGGACAAGCTTTCATAGTACCAGGAGTCACCATGCATGCTTCCAAAAGAGTGAAGCAATCAACCGTCCTGCCCAGTTATAACACCTATGAACCACATCAACAACCAATATGGCATGATAACCCTAAGGGTACAGTAGTGGCACTTAACCTTGGCAGTAATCAACAGCTCTCTAAATGGACTCAAGACTTGCTCAACAAGAGTAAAATCATGCTTGGTACTGGAAACCTAGCCAACTACTCAGTGATAGTGAAGTAATAGATCCTGAATAAGAACCTACAACCATCACTTTATTTAACCAGCATAATCTCTATGCTGTGAGATTGTGTCTCCTAGTAATGACAGAAACTATACCCAGACAGTCTCACAACCTGAGCTGAGTAATGACAAGACATATGACAAAGTGGATGGGAGCTGGGGGACACAAGGCAGGGAAGCACAAGCCCTCAACCCTAAAGAACTAAGGAATGTTTAAAGTGGGAGAAATAGTCTTTCCCAGAGAAGAGCACACCAGCTGATTATCCAATTGCAAATAGTGAGTCCTAAAAACATATGCCTAAGTAACATTATATTGACTGAATGAATTATATTTAGGAATATATATGTATATATATAACATTTATACATGCAACAATTAAAGAGGTCATGAAATTGAAAGAGAGCAAGGAAGGGTATATGAGAGAGTCTGTACCAAGCAAAGGGAAAGGAGAAATGAGTAATATAGTATAATCACAGTGTAAGAAATTAAAAAGGAATAGTAGGCAAAGGATCAGCGCTTCCTAACTCAAATAAGCCCATCTATACAACTATCACTGACTCCTACTTGTTGACTTTGACCATTTATAAAATGAATCCTCAGCAAGTTTTTGCTCAAAGAAAAGTAAAAAATCTCTGGCAATATGGCCTTGCAATGTAGTTACTGAATCTTCAGCTTCAGCCAGGCAAAGGCGTCAAAAACTCCCTTTGACCAAAAAGAAAAACAGTGTGTGTGTGTGTGTGTGTGTGTGTGTGTGTATGCATATCTGTATAAAATGTATTTATATTATGCCCTATTTATTATATATTATAGTTGCTATTTTTATTACTTAGTTACTATTTCCATTTATTACATTGTTAGAATTTAGAAGCTACACATTGGACAATATCATAAAATAGATCCGTTACTAAGCTACAAGTGAATAGAGCCTGGTGGCTTTGCTACTACTTTGTAGAATAGCACAAAACTATTCTGCATAGGTTAATATGGTAATTATAGTCTGGATAAATTTGGCTTTAAGAATAAAATTAGAAACAGTAAAATCTACAGACTATGTACACAAAAGCTCATTTTGCTTGTAAGAATGCGTAAGGATTACAACTTAATAATTTTCCTTGGGAGAATTAAAGAAAACAGAATAATTGTACCTGACCAATAGTGTTCTGTACTTAATGACCTTTATCAATTATTAATTAATAGTTCTTATTCCTGTAACACATTTTTTATGAATTAAACATTTCATGTAATCCAAACGTTTTTCTTTACAAATAAATTTAAAAAAAAAAAAAAGAAGTGTGGTGGGGCCTGGAGAGATGACTCAGCAGTTCAGAGCACCAGCTGCTCTTCCAGAGGACCCAGATTAGATTCCCAGCACCAGATGGCAACTCACAAATGTCCATAACTCAAGTTTCGGAGGATCCAATGATTTCTTCTGGCTTCTGCAGGCATCAGGCATGTAAGTGGTACAAAAACAAACAAAACATCTGTAAACAAAACATCTGGGGTTGAGTGACCCTTTCACAGAGGTTGAATATCAGATACACTGCATCATCAGACATTTATATTATGATTTATAACAGTAGCAAAATTACAATATGGTTGGGGGTCACGACAAGAGGTACTGTATTAAAAGGTCACAGCATTAGGAAAAGTGAGAACCATTGTTTTAAATAAATCTCTTCAAAATGTATGGAAAGTCACCAAAATCTCAGGACAGACTCCCGCCACCACCACCTTTTTAACACATTCTTTCGAATTAAAACAAAACAAAAACCATATTCTTTCAGTTACCTTTAAGTTCTTTAACAAAATTAATTAAAGTTCAACACAGTTAAAAGCTTGAGAAACTCATAAGAAGTCTAAGCTACATAATAAATACCAGTTTTGTCTCATGGTTTTTGGTTTGGTTTATGGTTTAGGGGCAGACTCCTGTGCAGCTCAGGCTGGCCTGAATTTCTCCATGTTCCCTTGTGTTAGGAGTACTGACATGTACCATCTTATCATCTAGCTTCAGTTCTCTGAGGAATATTTTTTAATTCTTTATTAATTACACTTTATTCACTTTGTATCCCCCCTGTTGTTCCCTCCCTCCTCCGGTTCCAATCCCTCCCTTACTCCCCCCTCTGCACACTTGCCCCTCCCCAAGTCCACTGATAGGGGAGGTCTTCTTTTCCTTCCTTCTGATCCTAGTCAATTCAATCCTAGGTCTCATCAGGAGTGGCTGCACTGTCTTCCTCTGTGGCCTGGTAAGGCTGCTCCCCTCTTAGAGGGAGGAGATCAAAGAGCAGGCCAATCAGCTCATGTCAGAGACAGTCCCTGTTCCTATTACTATGGAACCCACTTGGACACTGAACTGCCATGGGCTACATCTATTCATCTGGTCCTTGGTTGGAGTATCAGTCTCAGAAAAGACCCCTGTGCTCAGATTTTTTGGTTCTGTTGCTCTCCTTGTGGAGTTCCTGTCCTCTGAGGAATATTTTATATTCTTACACTTAAAAGAAATTTGACACTGAAAGCGTAATTTCTCTAATTTAATCACAAATCCTGTAACAAGAAAAGTACATTCTGATGTAGAAAGCAGTATTTCCAGCAATCCCCACTGCAAAGATTCAAAAGACAAAGTCCAGCTGGCAGTGGTGGTGCACAGCTTTAATCTCAACACTGCCAAGACAGAGGCAGGCATATATCTGGTCTACAGTGCTAGTATCAGAAGAGCCAAGGCTGCACAATGTATGGAAACCTTGTCTCAAATCTTCCCCCCACCCAAAAAAAAAAACACAAAGTCCAGCCAGATGCTTAAGCACTTAGAAGTAACAAAATCACAACTGAAAAAGCCTGAGCCAAAAAGGAAGGAAGGAAGGAAAGGAGGGGGAAATGGAGAAAGGGAGGGAGGAAAGGAGGGAGGGAAACAGGCAAAAACTTTGTTCTAACTCAGTTTCACATAGGCAATTTATAAATTATGAATAAAGTAAATGTCTAAAAGGAACAACCCATTTAAAGTATACTATAAACCTGGTTATAAAGTATTTTCTTACTGATCAAAAATAAAACGAAAATACAAATACTATTCATAGATGACACTCAGGTGTCAACTAATACATGATTTAGAGCATTATCATCTCATCAAATTAGTGTTATATAGTGGTTATCCCTCAGTCTGGCCCACAAAGCCTATTTAGCAGTTTCTAAGATGTTTATTTATCCCACACTAGCTTTGTGTGATAGCACTGGTAGTCTAAAGCAAGAATGTGGTAAATGCCAAGAAAACAAGAGTTCCTCGCCACATAAGTTTTCCAGCAGAGAGACCACTCCAAGGTCTACCATCTTCTAGGGGAGCAATGTAAGTCCAAATGACCATCAATGAGTGTCAGTGTGCATGTGTGAGTGTATGTGTGTGTTTGTGTGGGTGTGGATGTGTAGCTGCCCGCACATCTCTTGTATCAAGATTTAACTAACACTGAAAAGCCATCCCATCTCTGGTATGTCTAAACACAGGTCAACTCTCCCCTCTACCCAACACTGCCTCCTTCCTTTTCCCACTAATGTAGAGCACTCCACAATAAACAACCTACCCATTAATCTCTTTCGAGAGATTATTTTTCAGGATCTAACACAAATTACTAACGCTATAAACTCCTTTGGAACTGTTCTAATATATTCTCTTTAATATATAATAGCTATCTTGCTTCATATTTACGTAGATACTTTAATCTCATTTTATACGTGCAGAAACTAGGCTCAGAGAGAACTTAAATAACTTACCGAAAGAAATTTGAGGAACTAATTTAAAATGGGTCCTAAAATGCAAGGCAAGCACTAACTACATCTACACAGACTTAAGGCAGAATTAGCTCAAAGGCAGTACTGGGAATGAATTGTGGTGAACCTTGCTTAGCCACAAAACAGGAATTTATGAAAGTATGTGCAATTCAGGCCCACTGAAAACTAGATATACCATAATCAAGGTTTCAAATATTTTTAGAGCTGAACAAAAAGACAGAGGCCTAATATAGCCAGAATTTCAGAATGAAATCCATTGTAGTCTATTGCCTGATTACCACATTCTAAAAATAATGAACGACAAATCTTGTCCACCTACAAGCATAATGTTCCAGTATAAGCACACAGATGTTTACTATGCAGGAAGATGATGCCTCTTCCTCACATTTGCTTGTTTCCTCAAATCCTTGCAGAAAGCTTCATGAATTAGTGTCTAAAAAATAAAAATAGCAACCAGTTCAATTGCCTCAACTCCAACCACACTATGGTTTCCCCAAGCTTTCCCTGGCTAGCAATCTTCTTTATAGAGCAAGGAGTTATTTATAGTTACAGTGAACAACTAAGAGCTAATATTACCCTGCTTTGGTAACTACAATGGCCCAGTCCTACCCGACATAAAACCACTCTATAAACCTGAAACAACTAGTTTTAACTAGTCATTAAGTTTACATGCAAATACAGACCTGATCAGAACAAAGCCTTTAAAACTTTAATAGACATGAAACATGTTCAAGGACAGCCTGAGAGCTCTATAGCTAAGATGTCTCGGCAACAACAAAAGACTGGGAAAACTTAGTAATTTTTGAAAACTGTATTATCTAGTATCACAAGCAAAACTTGAAATATACTTAGAAATCCTAAAACAGTCCAATTAACGTAATTTTAAAATTTAAAAATAATTGAGTCTTGAGCCAGTAAGAAGGCTCAGTGGGAAAGAGCCCTTACCACCAAGCCTTACAACCTGAGTTCGATACCCAAAATCCACTTCCTAGGAGAGAACTTCTGTTTTCTGACCTCGAAAAGTATGCTATTTGTACACGCACACACACAAAAAAAAGTTTAAAAAAAAAAAAAAGTGAACCATTGCTGTCATGACTATTGCCCCTGCCTATAAAAATTCACCAGTATCCCCTCTCCTCCACCTCTCCCACACCTACTATATGGGTGTATGTGTGTGTGAGTGCGTAATTTACAACTTCCTTATTTGATTTGTATAAGCCTCAGGACCCATGTTAACACTGTCTTCAGAAAGGCAAAGGCGATTCTTCTAGTTAAGGTTAACTGTTCACCAAGGTGACACCAACAATGGGCTCCATAAAACTTAGCTCACTGCTCCTCATTTTGAAGCTTCTGAGATTCTGGTTATAGCAGCATAGGGGCCCACTGCTTCTTTTTCTACATCTAATAAAATAAAGTCCAAATCAGAAATATATAGCTTTACACAGGTATATACAGTATTGTTAAATCTACCAGTTTACTACTTCAAAAGAATAACAGAGACATCACAGGTGGCTTAATGCTTCCTGCCACAGAAAAACTTCCTTCCACTACAAATTAAAAAGTTGCTCGTTTAATACACTAATTTTAATATTTAGTAAACATTCAATAATTTAACATTTAAATATTTTAAATCAATAACTAATAGCTATTATTCATCAATCATCTATTAATTGCAATGAGTTTTTATTGACCTCTCCATAATGAGCCTTTAAAATGCAAAAACTGGGAAAGTGATGGTAAAAGGTCACTCTGCCCCTCCCTCGAAGTAAAGGACTCTTCTAAAGGACCAGTGCAGCTCCCACTCCTCCATCAAGCTTCTCCATGAGGAAACTGAGGTTCAGTTCTCCAGATACCAAAACTCTAACTGGCTAAGGCAGAGTTGATACTACCCAGAGTCTAAGTATCTTCTTTTCTGCCCATATCAAAGGGAAGGTTAGAGCTAGAAAAGCAAAGAAAATGCACAGGTTAGCCAAGATTATCACCAAACACGAACAAATGTGGAAGTCCTCGCCTGGTAATAAATAAATAAATAAATCTTCCTATTTCAAAACTGCAGGGGCGCAGCAGTGGGGCCTCTATCCAACAGCCTGTAGGGAGTTCTCCTAGGGAGTCTCTTTTAAGTATTGTATCATTTTTTTATGAGTAACTGTCTACCTAGAGAATGGCCTCAGGAAAAAAAAAAAAATGAAAATTGTGTTAAAAAGCAAATATAACTATTTTCATCCACTTACATTAAAATATACATTCTTTTCTCTGGAAAACTGCCTGACAAGAAAAAGTTTAAAAACTGTTCAAATAAATGTCAAGAACCGGGCCACGAAAATCGTCTCCACAGTAAGAAGAAAAGAATCCCGTCACATGTTAGTTATTACCTACATGCCTCCCTCTAAAGGATCGTTCAGTTGCTCATAAGATTATCAGGCTTCTTTCAAAAAACAAATGTGAAACAATTATACAGGAGGTTGAAAAAAAAAAAAAAAAGCCCAGGCTGGGAACGGAAGTTAAGTTCAGATTCTCTTCCTTCCTCAAGCAAGACCGAGAATTAAAGAATACTCCCCACAACACACACAGACACAGACCGCGCGCGCGCGCACGCGCGCGTACACACACACACACACACTCACACACACATACACACGCGCGCGCGCGCGCACGCGCACCCCTCGCAATCCCTGACCTCTCCACCTGTAGCAATCAGCGCAGCAGGCCTAGGTCTGCTGGGAATTCGGGCTTTTCTTCACTAGGGGCAAAGGTGGGTGGGTCAAGGGTGAGCAGAGAAGTTTGCAACCCGTTCATTGCAACTTGAGCACCTTTTTTTTTTCCTGCTGCTTGGCTCGTGCCCACTAGCCTGGGACTCTTCAGACTCGGGCAGCGCGGGCGTCCCCGGGAGCGGGCACCCACGGGGACGCCCGGCTGGGCCCGCGGCCCGCCCCACGCCGCTCCGCGTGGGCGCCGCGAAGGGGAAGCCGCGGCGGGGCGGAGAGGCGGGGCGAGCACTTCCTGACTCGCATTGTCCACGCGCCGCCCGCGCCGCCGGGGCCCCACCGCCGCGCCCGCCCGTCGGGGAGGAAGTTGGCGC